AGCTCTTATCTGTACCAGTGTACATGCTCATGAGGGTGGGGGGTTGAGGAACCAGAGGAATGTTGTGTTTCATCAGTGCTATATTGTGCCCTGGTTGACTTATCGCTTGTGAGACTAAATCTTGCCGTCTTTGCTCCTAAGGAGCATTCTGGCTTTTCTTCTTTCATGACAGATTGTTTGTTCTTCTGGAAGTCCACAACACATTTACGATTCTTCCCAACACCATAACTCAAAGGCATCTACACTCCTTCAGTCATCCTTATGCGTGGTCCAGCTTTCACATAGGTGTGAAGCACTTTAAAATGCCACAGCTTCGTTAAGGCACACCTGAGTCCTCAAAGTGACATCTTTGCTTTTTAACACTTTAAACAGGCTGTTTGCAGCAGATTTGCTCCATGCAATACATTGTCCAATTTCCTGACTGCTGCTGCCATGGGTGTTGACCGTAGGTCCAAGTGAAATGAAATCCTTCAGAACGTCTGTCTTTTCTCAGTTTATCATGATGTTGCTTATTGGTTCCGTTGTGAGAGTTGTCCTTGAAGTGTGATCCATACTTAAGACTGTAGGTAATCTTTAATCTTCATCAGTAAGGGCTTCAAGTCCTCTTCACTTTGAGCTAGCAGGGTTGTGCATGTGCGTATCACAGATTGTTAATAATGCTTCCTCCACTCCTAATGAAACGTTTATCTTCATACAATCCACCCTGTCTAGTTATTTGCTCAGCACACTGAATGAATCATATGAGAATTGACACACACTTTTCCTGATTTTAAGACTCGTGTTCTCTCTGAATGATTGATTGCCTCTTGCTCCATGCGTAGCTCCCCACGAGCACAATGAAGCATTCTAGATGAGAACTAACCCCAGTTATTTTTCAAAAGCACATAAGTTTCCAAGAAAAAGAAGAACCAGGCCCTGCCTCCCCCAAAGAGTCTATGCGTTAATAGGAGGCCTTTCTGAATCTCTATTTTACAGAGAGTTTGGGGCCTGTTACATCTACTAACTCACTCTCTGTAAACACATTTCAGATCAGAAAGAAAAACATGTACAAAACAGTTGACAAAACCATCTACAAGCAAGCGTTTAGCCCTGAGCCGCTGATCAGGTGCTGGGACGAATGTCTGCACAAGGCTTCCTTTCACCGCAGACGGGAGCAAGTGGAAGAGTTCAATAAGAAGAACTACTGGAAGAAGAAGGGCATGGCTATCATCCCCATGAAGTTTTCTGTTGGCTTTGCTGCAACAAGTTATCATCAGGTAAGCATCCATGTTTTTATCTCCATTACTGAGAAACCGGGAAACCTCGTGCCAGAAGCCCTCCTGGCCCAATCAGCTTGTGTCAACTTTGGGGGGGCGGGGTTTGACATTTCCAGGGCATTGAGCCCCTGCTTCAGAATCTGAGAGAGGTGCTGACATCTCTTGAGCACACCGCCCCCACCCCCATCTGCGAACGCCTTTAACATCATGCAGTTCAAAAAGGTCTCAATGGCAGAAAATAGCCTCAACGGGCGGGAGATCTACGCATCGTAACTGCCAAAGGGGAATACTGGTCAAGAGAGGGACAGGGACTCACAAGGTTAGTGGGAATGGACTTTCTGAGTTCAGGAATCTCATGGCTTCGTCAGGATGGGAGCCTGTGCCCCAGACACCCACAACATCCACCTCGCTCAGCGTACCTGCTAAGTCTTGGTGGAGAAACGATTCCACTTCATCCTGATCAGTGGGGACTGTTGTAAACCACCTCTTCCAGGAATCTGTATCACTTCTGATGGGTTCAGAAACTCTCCCAGATAAAAGTGTTACTCACAGGAGCGGGGAGCAAGGGCAGCAGAGAGATGAGTCCATTAAGCAGAAAAGACTAAACAGAAGCATCTTCCCAGGCATCCCAAGGGGTCATATACACATACAGGAAGGCCGTGCAAAAACTGTTGCTTGCTCATTACTGCCCATTAAACGCAGAGAAACCAGGAACTGGAAAGATCTTGTATGCATTAGCGCTCCCTTGTGTGAACACCATTGAAAGCATTCTTCCACTTGAAGCATTCTTCCATTCCTATGCGCGTGCACACACACACACACACACCCCAGAGGAAATTCTTCTTAAGGATTAAAGCAGTTCTCCAAAATCCTTAGTCAACTGGAGTCAGGCAGGCAGACCTGAGAAATCTTTGGACCTGCCATTTACTCGCTATGGGACATTAGGCAAGTTCTCTAACCTCTCGGAGCTTCAGTACCATTCTAAAATGAGAACAGTGATGATTTGCACAGGGCTGGTAAAGTGAAATATACAGTACTTGGCAGGATTCTTGTCACATGCTGAACATTATCCAGAGCTGCCCTAAGCTCCTCCCTCAGAGCTCTCAGACACATCTGCTCTCAGTGTGGTCATTATTCTGGTGCCAAAATGAGATTCCCTCATCTCATGGGTCACATTCCTGTGTGAGTCCAGCATGAGCATCCTTTCAAGAGATGCCAGAAGGTCAACTGTCAGCTCCATGGTCCTGAACAGAGTCAAGGCTGGGGCAAAAGATAAGACGGACAGACCACCACTCCTCATCTGCATGGCTGCCCCTTATCTTGACCACAGGTGACCTCTGCCATCCTCTAGTTCAGTGGTTCTCAACCTGTGGGTCTCAACCCTTTTGGGGGGTCAAACGACCCTTTCACAGGGTCACCGATTCATCACAGTAGCAAAATGACAGTTATGAAATAGCAAGGAAAATAATTTTATGGTTGGGGCTCACCACAACATGAGGAATGGTATGAAAGGGTAGCGGCATGAGGAAGTGAGAACCACTGCTCTAATTCACATCCAAGGAAGCCAGCTTCTCATCTCACCCCGAAAGGCGTCTGTTCAGGATTGAATTGTGTCCCTCCTGCAATGTAGAAATGCTAGTCCATGTGCCTGTGCATAGGACATTGGGAGAGAAGCATTTTCTTCCATTGTGTTGATGAGGCCTCTCAGTGTAGGGTGAGCCCACCCGATTCACTCCTGAGTTATAAAAAGATTAGACTAGACACGCACTCACTGAAACTCCCTGCCATCGAGTCAGTTTTGACCCATAGAGCAGAGAACAGTTCCTATGGGTCTTCGAGACAGTGACTCTTGACAGCAGAGAAAGCTGCCTCTTTCTCCTGCGGAAGGGCTGGTGGTTAGGAGCCCCGCCCATAACCACCACCAGCTACAGAGACACACAACGACAGATGCCAGGAACACCAAGGATTGCTAACAGCTGCTAGAAGCTGAACTAAATAAGGCTCTCCCTCCAGGACCACTCCCTGGATTCCAATTTGTATCCTCCTGCACCGATGGGGCAAAAAATCCATTTCTGATCCTTCATGCCCCACACTGGTGATACTCCGGTTACAGCAGCCTGAGGACCCACGACCCAAAACCCATGGCCGCCAAGTCAATTCCCACTTGCAGCCGCGCGACGATGACTGTGGCTAAGAACAAAATGATGAGTGAGACCAGACACCCTCTCAGAAGCGCTCGTTCCTATTTTACAGTGGAACCGCTTCACAGGGCTTCCAGGCTGTGAATCTTTATGGAAACAGACAGACAAATGGCGCTCCAGTGGAGCAGCTGGCGAGTTCAAACCACCAGCCTCTGGACTAGCAGCCCAGAGCTCTAACCACTGTGCCCCCGGGGTTCCTGGTCCCTAAGACAGCATTGTGAAGATAGGGCTTGCCTTTCCATTTGAAAGACTTCCAGTGTCCTGCAGAGTTCCAGATTGGTATACCCTAGATCACCTGGCTCAGAGCTGAAGCCTGTTTGCCAGGTCAGCAGGGGACTCTCGGACAAGCCGGAGCACCCCCAACCGGGGTGTGAGAAGCATGGTCCTCGGAGAGAACCAGCGGGCCTCCCCTCAGCAGACACTGTGATGAGTACTGACAAGCCCCGATGCTCCCGAGCTCCTCCACGCCACCCCAGCAACCCCACCATCCGAACAACCGTCTTCATTGTTCCTCCCGGTCCTGTCCGTTCCATTCGGTGAACCTTTCGTTCTGGTCTCAGGGATCCGTACCCACTCTAAGTCTTCCCAGGACAAAAAGATGAACCTGACCAGAGGCCCGGCTTTGTGAGACCTTCAGAAGAGCTCGTTCTGGCACCTGAGGGAATGCAAAGAGACTGATGCTGCCGAGGTGGCGGTAAGACGCGATCAGAGGCGTTGGCACAGGGAGGCGATGGGGCGTGAAACTAGGAAAGCAGATAAAGCATAGGAAGAGGAGCCATCCAGGACGACAGAAAAGCAGCGGTAAAGCTGGCTCAGAGGCCAAGCCGCAGGTGGCTAACAGGAAACTGGACAAGTGGACAGAGACCAGATCCCCAAAACCAGTTTCCATGGAGTCCACACTGCTTCACGGTGGCCCATCGGTGTGGTTTCCAGTGGCTGATTTGGTCAGATCTCCAGCTCTTCAAAGGCACCTCTGGTTGCTCTCCAATCGCCACCTTTTCCAGGGCCTTCAACCATTTGCTCTGCCCAGGTGCCCCCCAAATCCCAAAGGGCCTCGTGTATTACAATGAGGAGCCTGGCTTTCCCTGAAGCAATGGGGAGTTTCTACCCCCTGGTGGACCCTTCGCCCTTTGGTGATTCCATTCATACATCTCTCTGGAAACCCTTCCCTGAGCTCCAGAGAAGCTCCATCTCTCCTCCGAGGTCTTCCAGAGCCCTTTATGCCGCATCCATCATTTCCCTCATCATTCCCTACAACGTGATTCCCAGCCGGCCTCTCCACTACGTGGTGAGCTCTGTGAGGAAGAGTCACATCTTCCTCATCTTTGTCATGGTATCCATCCAAGCATGACGTCCTTGTCCAGGAACCGATCTCTCTGGATAACATGTCCTAAGGACAGGACGTAAGTTTTCTAAGGGGCATTGAGCCGACGTGTTTGTTCTCTGGGCAGTCGCCGGGACTTTCAGCCTAATTCACATGCTTCCATTCTTCCTTGTTCTTCTTTATTCAGTGTCCAACTTTCACAGGCCTGGGTGAGGCAACTGATAACACCATGGCGTGGGTCAGGCACACCTTAATCTGAAAAATGACATCCTAGTCTTTGAACACTTTAAAGAGGTCTTAGGCAAATTTTCCCAGTTTGATCAAAAATCCCCCATTTGTACTCTTGCCTGTTGCTTCCATGAGCACTGATTGTGAATCCAAGCAAGGTGAGATCCTTGACCACTTCACTGCTTCCTCTATCATGGTGTTGTCTTGACTGAAGCAAGGGGAAGGCTTTCACTGGTAGGAACCAATACTTACAACTCAGAAATATGCAACGGCCCTACCTAAAACTCAGTCCTAAATAGGGCTGTTCTTTACAGGTGACTTCTGCAAAAGGCAGAGCTGGGTTTCAGCGCCCCACAGGAAAGTTTGCCTCTCTGGTCCCCCCATAATCCTGTTTCATTATCTCATTTTTTAAAATGTGGAGCCTCACTAAATGCCAACTGCCCTGAGCTATGCATCCTTGGCTGTTTTCCTAGGCAGCTGCACTCGTCCACATCTATACAGACGGATCTGTATTGGTCACACACGGAGGCAATGAGCTGGGACAAGGGATTCACACCAAAATGCTCCAGGTAAAATAATCAAACTCAATCGCTGGTTCCACTGTACACTGTTAACATGATCGACATTTAGGTCTCATGTTTTAGGGTCACTGGCAATTCTCTGCACTCAAACCCTAAAATCCTGATTCCATTTCATCCTGACTTCTTACCCATCAAATAGAATGGCTGAGGTAGCAGAAATCCCATCCATGTGCAAAGACTCCTGGGGCGTGTTCCAGGGGCTATGGGGGCTGTCATTAGGGAAGGCACCACTCATGAGCCTGTGGTAGGTGACCCATACAGGCACCACCGGACAGGGCTACGAATGTTTTATTTGGCCAAGTAAAAACAAATATTTCATCAATGGTCACATTTGATCATTTTAAAAGGACTTTAGCAAAGAAAAAAATAGGCAGAACATCGTCTTGGCAGTGGTGGGGGCAGGGGAGGGGGGGCTTAAGGGGGAAGGGTAATCTTTGAAATTGGATACATTTCACTTCATAACAAATTTATTAGGTTTATCATAAGGTTTATCTGTTACTCTTTGACCATCCAGCTCCTTAGTTCCTTTGGAAGAGTACACTTGCCGTATTCTGTATGGTTCTGACCAAACCAAACCCTGTCCACTGCTTTCGAGTTGACTTTGTTGCATAGACCTGCCCCCAAGGGGTTCGAAGATTGTCAATCTTTATGGAAGCAGGTTTCCATGCCTCGCTCCAGTGGGGTGGGGGAATTACAACTCCCAACGCCTATTGGCTAGAAGCAGGGTGCTTGCACCACAGTGGCACCATGACTCCTATACAGTTGTGCAATTGGAGTCTGCAACTCCAGTTATCTGCCAGTCCCGTCCTCTTTCCTATCTCCACCCTGCCACAGATAGAGGCAGGACCCATCTCTAGCCAATCATGGTTCCCAAACACCCTCGACTGCAGGAAGTGGTCTAAGAAGAAAATAAGCAACTCGAGTAAGATCCATCAAGTCCTTTCCTGGGACTGAAGTGTACCTACCGGCAGACAGAAACCATCTTTCCTGAGATGGTTCAACTACGATGCTGAAGGCCAGCGGCTCATGGAGCCCAATTCTCCCACGTCTTGGACAGAGATAGTCTCCTGTTGCCGATGATATGGTCAACACAGAGGGAAAAGTCAACATGAGAGGCACCAAACGCCCCTCAAAATCCAAACTCGCTGCCATCGAGTCAATCGGACCCACAGCCGCTGTAGAAGACAGGGCTGAACTGCCCCTGAGAGTTCCCTAGGCTGTGCCTCTTTCCAGGAGTAGAAGCCCTGTCTTTCTCCCGAAGAGCAGCTGGTGGTTTCTAACTGTTGACCTTGCGGTGAGCAGCTCAATGCATAACCACTAGACCACCAGGGCTCCTGAGGAAGGGCCTAGAGACGGACACACCCAACCCTCGACTCACTGAGTCTTCCCAGCTACATCTGAACCAAATCACGACGTGCGTCTGCTAGAGAACGCGGAGAAAAGTGCAAAAACAGGTGCTAGAAAACACCCGCAGAATAGAAGCAAGGAGGCACAACTAGAGGAAAGGGAGCGAGACTTGAGATGGGATGGGGGCAAGAAAGAAGACAGGTTGTCAGGATCTCTCCAGCTGCACGTGATACTGGATATCGACAGCTGTAAGACCGAATCCTGAGGCAGTCCATCTGATACCTTCTCTCTCTCTCTCTCTCTCCCTCTCTCTCTCTCTCACACACACACACACACTCTCTCTCTCTCTCTCCCCTACCACTAAAAGTCTGACCTTAGCCTATGTCTC